CAGCTTTTCTACTGATATCTGAAGTACTAATCATCACATTTCAATGAATCTAGAATTATGCAGAGACCCAATTAGTTTTTGGTAAATATTTGTGCATATTAATCACCTAATTTGCATAATTAACCAATTTCCAACTTTCACACTGATATCTCAGGTACTAATCATCACATATCAATGAATGTTTATACATGGATGCTGTAGGACAATAGACAGACCTGGATAATTGTGGGTTAAAATCTGTACATATTAATTACCCAATTTACATAATTAACCAATTTTAAGCTTTCACACTGATATCTAAAGTACTAATTTCCATTTTAATGAAACTTAGTACAAAGATGCTCGAGGACAATGTACAAACCTACCGGTAATTAGTTTGGGGTAAAACTCTGTTCATATTATTTCCCTAATTAGCATAATAATTCATAATTTTTTGGTTCTAATCAATTAAACTTGGTACATTTTGTACATAGAGTTTTTGTTACATTGCGCAGACCTCATTAGTTTTACAATCAAATCTGTTCATGTTAATTTTCTGATTTGCATAATTAGTTTTCAGCTAAGTAATTTCAAATTATATTTAATGTGTCTCCAATACTCTCAGCACATGGGAGTTCTTTCTAAGCTTTCTTTGATTTTGTCTTTGTGTGTAATATTTTTTCACAACAAAGAAATTAAAACCCGGCACCTTTTACAACTGTATTTCGTTTCCCTCATGCCGGGTAGACCAGATGCAGTCGGAGCGAGCGGTCTCCACTGTGGCCTCTCAGTCAGCAAGCAGGAAGAAACACAGGAAGCACCACTCGCATTCTAGACATGTCTCTTCTGGGGAACCCCCCGTTCCCAGCCGTGACAACCCCCCTGATGGGGGAGGGGGGGCTCAGGCTAGTGGCATCGGGTCTCCTCTGGGACTCTGACACAGAACACCAACGGGAATGCTGGCAGCCAAGGCTCCGATCTCTGGGCAGGGCTTTCGGGACAGGGCACACATTGCACAGACACACACACACCGCTTTCAACCAGCCAAGGTTTCCTGCGCGGTACTGGTCTCAATAATTCAAGTCCAAGCTCCGCTGTGGGTTTCGACTCCCTTCTCGCCGACCAACAGACCTTCCCAGAGCGGAACCGACCCTGTCATGAGACGCACTCTCGAAGACGTTCTCGCCCACATATTTAAGTTGAGAGGAGGCAGTTCGTCCGCGTCGGATACAGTGGGTACCTCGGACGGTCTCTCAGAGTCTTCCATGCGTAATGATTCAGTGAGCCACGCCGTTGGGGTGATGTGGAATATTATCAATCCAGGTGACACGATGTATATTCCCCCACCCTGGATCCTAAAGCAACCACTCACGGCTGCTTCTACGTTTATGGGATCGCAGACGCCGGGATCCAGATCGACCCCGCCCACACGTCTCCCCTGGTCCAGCAGAGTGCTGAGCATGGCGGATGGCGCGCAGACGGTGCTGAGGGGCGGCCGTTGGTCAGCCACGGAGGAGGTAACGCCAAAGGTCCCTGCCTCGAGTAATCTTTTGCTGGACCAAACGCTACCCTATCGGGTCAGATTCGGATCCCAACTCGTGGGACGAAACCAGATGCCCCGACCGGACCCCAAGGCTCCTTCCCCAGACCCCGGTACCACGAATTTCTGTTTTGCTAACTGGGTAAAGGTGGACGGCCGCATTCCATGGTCATTCTCACCGACTCAGTCTGAAACTATCCAACACGCCCTGAGGGCAGAATAGCGACCCATCAATTTTCTAGAATTCGTGGGCGCCAGAGGCCTCAGAGGCAGAACGCACCCGCCTCCTAGACCAGGCGACACAGTTAATGGTAGGCCATCGCACGGCTATGTGCGATATCCTCCAGTGTCATATGGCTCACTTACCCGGGGCTACTACAGTGCAGCGAGACGCGGTTTTAGACGCGTGTGTTTTTGGCGGCAAACTGAGACAGAGGGTACGCCACCGCCTCAGTTATGCAGACTGGACATCGGCCACCCTCTTTGATTGGGAGATAGCGGATGCAGTCGCAAAGCTTCGGGGTGTAAAGAACCAAATGGTCCAAGTCGGATCCGCTAGCCAGTTGGTTGCTGCAAAGGGTAAACGGAGGGCGCCCCAGCACAGAAAACGCAACGCCCTAAGACTAACTCTGTTAGCCAGAGTCAGCCAGGAGGCAAGCACAAGAGCTAACCGCATACCACCTTCCAGGGATGAGGAACAGTCTGGCAGACGCTCTTTCGAGGTGGTTCCGTCTCCAGAACATGGAGTGGCAGATACCCCAGTGGGTAGCCTCCAGGCTGTTTCGGCTGTGGGACGGTCCAAAGATACTGTGGAATACTTTATTTTCGCTGGAATTAATTTTTGCTAAAAATGCTTTTTGAGGGTTTTGTATGGAATTTATTTTCACTGATTTTTGATGAGTATATTGCTGGATTTTATTTTCATGGAATCATCCCTTCAGCGAAAATAAATTCCAAGTGAAAATAAAGTCAGGTCTTAAAATTAATACAGAAAAAAGTGAAGGCATGTGGTTAGGTAAATTTAAGCATAACAAATCTAAACCGTTGGGTATTGTATGGCCAAATGACATAATTAAAATTGTTGGTGTGTTCTTCTCATACAACTCAGGTGCATCATTGAAATTAAATCTGGCGAACGTAACGGAAAATTTGAAGAAAACACTCAATTTCTGGAAATCTAGAGACCTTACACTCTTGGGTAAGACCCAAATTATTAAAACTATGGCAATTTCAAGACTTCAATACATTATTAATCTAGTGGACATCCCAACCAAATATCTGAAAAAAATTAACACAATGTTATTTATATTTCTGTGGAGGGGCCCAGATAAGATTGCAAGGAATACAGTTATAGGTGACACAGACAAGGGTGGTTTTTCAATGTCAGACATCTATGCCATTTA